GGAGCGTTGTCATGCGGGGCTATCGCATGGATAGCTCAATTCAAACACCTTTTTTACGCACGTTTCCTGCCGGCACCCTCAAAAGGCGTATGACCTTTGGTTAAAATTGAAGACTGAGAACGAGCGTTTTCTTGGATTGAAGGGTGCGCCAACCCCGTTCCTCGCCTGAGAAAACTCGGTGGAAAAGTCGTCGAACGTCATCCAGAACGAGGATCCCTCTTGTTCTTGTTCTTGTTCTTGTTGTTCTCGTGCCACTCGACCTGCTCCTACATCGGTTGCCTCCGTCACTGTAGCACCACCACCTTCTCCATCCTTTTCAGCGGCGGGAGGGGGCGAAGCCGAACCGACGCGCTGCTGTTGCAGCCGACGCAACTGGGCCTTTATGGACGGGTACGCGTCCCACATCCCGCTGTTCCTGGACCAGTCCCCTCGCCACTGGCCCACCCCCCAAGGGCAGCTCAACTTCGGCACAAACGACAGACAGGAGAACGCATCGACAGTGGTTTGAACAAGGGGAAGGCGGGGAAGAGGATGAGGGAGGGAGCTGGAGGGAGGGCAGCAGGGTAGATGCGGGAGGCACTGGCCGTTCCCGAGCAAGCCGCACGTAGCTTCACCTAGCAAGTCGAAAAACAACGTGGTTACAGAAAAATTGGCCCAAGCAAACACGACTTGAAATGCACAGAGTGTTTCTACACTGAGAGACACACACCTCGACCAGCTGAAACATGGCAGCGTCACGGGTGTGTGTTGCTCCGGCCGACGCCTCGCACACACTCTCGATGCAGTATCCCCGACCCGCCATGAGGCCCGTCTGTCGGCGCCCGGGCCCTTCGTGGTCGACTCCGCCGAAAGGTCCCTGCCAAATGCGATATATAAATCGCCAAGCAAGTTCCGCACAAACACGAGGGAAGACACGAAGCCCTGTTTTCCAAGTATCCCGCCAAAATCAAGAGGAGGCAGCAAATTGGCATTAGGAGAGAGGCAGACCTGGTGTGACTCCAACATGTGCCCAATTTATGCTGGTCTGGGAAAGGAAGAGCATGTCTGAACCTCAGCAGAATAACTACAAGCCCCGCGCTTTCCTTTGTTCCAGACGGGTTGACGACCAAACAGGCTATTGACGGAATCAGCTTACAATGGAGGAGCTGTCAGAGGCCGCTTGTCGATTTCTGGCGCGGTCGAACTCGACGCCACGGTAACACCCCATCACACACCCTCGCCCATGCCACCTGTAGCAAGGATAGATAAGCATATCGACGACGGCGTGGTTCCGTTTGAAAATTTGCTTCCCTGCCGCCGTCAACAATTGGGATGGCCCCCTTCCGATTCTCTACCGATGGCATGTTAATAGCCTCCTGTAGGGTGCTGCGCCGCTAGGATGCACGATCGCGGGTGCCGCATTGCAACCAACTTCACGGGTCCCCTTTCAACGTAGGCGATATTCGGTTGCCGAAGTAAATCGCACAACGCTTTCTTTGTTCTTCCCCGCGTTGCAGGGCACGCATCTACGTGTGTACCCGGTTTCATCCAAACGATCCGCCCAATTGCAGCGAGCACCCACTTCTTCATCTTCGCCCATAGATCCTGCCGACGCCTCTCAGACTCCTTGTCGGCGACACCTCCGTCCAAATCGCTCTTCGGCTCTAGGCCCGTTAGTGGAGTCCTGATCAGGGGGTTGCCCGTAAGACAGCGCAGGCCCTGTTCGATCGACCCGCGACCCAAGCTCTCGTAGCAACCGTGAAGCTTTGCGAAGGCTTTCTCGATGAGGGGAGCCCACACCTGCGTCCCCGTTGGACGAGGGCGGGGAGCGTCAAGCGCGAAAAGGTCTGCCGGTGGGCTGGGGGAATTCGGAGATTCAAGAGATGTGTCATGGAACGTGAGCATCGGGAAAAATCGAAGTGTCCGGAAATGGGTATTGGTGGGCAGGGGGAAGGCCTGGGTTCGTAGGAACAAGAGGAGACGGGAGACCTATCCCCAAGACGCAGCATGGGCTGTCACAGCAATCAATGGCAGGCACGTCACATCTTCCCGAGCGTTGCATTCGTTCTCAGAGCGCTACATTCGTCTCTTCGCATTGAAACGACGTGTGAAGGTTCTGTTCGAGGAGAGATCAGAATAAGGATTGGGGGTAAAAATACAGCAGCAGCAGTAACAATAGCATCAGCAGCAATGACAGCAGCAAAGCTACTTCATGCTGGTGATTGTCTTGCCTGGTTGGGATCCTTTGAGCAGCAGTAGTGCTGTGTTCGGGACGGGGAACAAGGAAGGCGGTCGTCCACGTGGATGTACCGCCAAGCACCCTCCTTGAACAGCTTGAGGGTGTAGACACCTTTCCATTGACACACAAAAACACGTTGCTTGGTTCCAAGAATGCACTGCGCGAAGAAGCACAACAGTTACACGTTGAATTTTTAGATCGGGGAAAGCAAGACAACACTCCTACGTACAGCACTCACGGGGAGGCACAACAAGCGTGCAGCTACTGGACGGGAAAAGCCATTTCCATCTTCAAATCTTCGATCTGCAATAGGTAACTACGTGCTCTGAACGCATGAGTTCAAGCGCGAAAATGGCATCCTTCATTCAACCCCCTTTAACCTCTTCACTGGTGGCTTTGGGGCAACTCAACCCATATATCCGGCTTTGTCCTTCGATGTTATATGAATACCCTCGTGTTCCCAATTCGAAACGAGCACATGGGCTCGAACTCCGGGCGCACGTCTCATTCATTGGTGTATGATACTCTACAGCCCCACCCGATGCCATTGTGGGTTTTTACCAACACCGAGCGTACTCCTAGACCTGACACGCTGTGAGTTGCATGCTACCTTTGTCGCTGTGCCTGTCGGAAACCACGACCTTCTTCAGCACCTCCGGGAACGGCGCGAGCATGTTCAGGGCGCTCACAAGCCACGAGTCTCCCAGCGCGCCCTGCACCACCGCCGCGAGATCTTCATCTGGTCAAGAAAACGTTCGGTGGGCAAGACTGTGCGCGTGGGCAAGGCGTTTACGAACTCTATTCCGACCGACATAGTGAATTGCCTGAGGACCCAAGCACACACCGCAGCCTCAACATTACCCTGTCGAGCACTTTTTTCTCAAACTCATTGTGGGAAAAACGCGTGACTTGCTCTTCCTCGGCGAATAATCGCGAAAAGCAACATAATCACGCGGGCTTGATTCAACTTGCAAGCAGTATCACAGCAGTGTCGTCTGAGTATGTTGCCGTGAAAACGGTAAAAATGCTCGAGACGCTCGTGGGGACCGTAACGTCACGCCAAAAATTTCCATCGGACGATGCCCGGCTGTTCCTTTCGCAGCTATGCGCGCAATCCGAAACACCTCATCGTCCAGTGGCCTGGCCGCCGCCAAGCCCTGCACCATTGTCGAGAACTTCCAGCGATCACGAAATTCCGTGCACCATCCACTCATACCATCTACAAGAGGCCTTCTGACTGCTCTCTCGTGTACTTCGCCCTTCAGATCGACTTGCCCCCCCCCAAATCCACACTTGTTCGAGGGTTTGTGAGTGCCATTGCGAGACCGATCGAGTCCGTTGTGCCTCTCTTTACACCATAAAACAAGTAGCCCGACGTGACAAGCAGGTGGCCGCTAAAACCGCATGGACGATGTACGCCGTGTATTTCGAAGCTAGTTTCCCTTTCAAACTCACCCACAGGGAACGTCACCGGAGAATGGCACCGCCTAACCTCTTGCTGAGAGATACGACCCCACACGACCAAGGCGGCGGGCAGGGTTCCAGCCGGGGGCTGCTGAGGAGTGCGGTAGAGGCTATCTCCGGAGGCGGGAAAGGCCGGGTCTTCAAACATGCAGCCACGTTCGGTGAGCGCCTGTGCGACCTCGTCCTCCTGAATGAAGGCTTGCTGGGGTAGATGTGAATATATATGTAGCAAAACGATCGGTGGTCGGTTTTCCCGCAAGCGGTTGGGGCGCGCGCTCAATAGCTAATGCGCCTTATTCGAGTGGAGCATTCTCTCATTAGTCATTCTCCATTGACCTCTGTTGTAGGCAGGTCATTGAGTGCTCGGCATCGTTCTCTAGCCATCCCGTATAGTCTGTCGCTTGCTTTGACTTAGCTGATCAATGGAAAAGCGAACGAAGTTCTGCTGGAAAACATATGCCCTCGGAGACTTCCAAAAATAAGCTACATGCAAAGACAAAACTTTCTCTAGACGGGATGTTGAAAACTGGGTTACGGGACGGTTCTTCAGATGCGTTGGGCATTGCGTGCATGGGATATTCTGTTCAGGTGGCCGGCAACTATTTCGTCCACAAACCCAAGTTTTTCCCTTCTATATCAGAGAAAAAGAGGTGTTTGCACCCAGGCTTACGCGTATGTCTTTAGTTGTAGCTGTTCGAATTCCATACCCAGGACTATTTACGTCAAATACTCAGAAATCGCTTTCCCTTCGACGAGGTGCCGCAAGGCACATGTGCACCAGGTGAAGGCTGTTGCCCTCTCGAAGCGCTCCGAACAAGCATACCGCTCACCTCTTGCGTACATCACGTAAGTGTTCCAAGACCGTTGTATCTATCTAACTCTCTCTGCCACAGCGCAGTACTACACAGCACAAAGCAGTAGCTATCGTTTGTTTTGTTTGTTAGCATCGACCGCGCTAATAGGCTGACCACGGAAAGACGTCAGTGCGTTTGCAAACGCTCTGGTGTGTGTGTCCGTTCCGCGCTCTTGATCGTACCCTGCGTCATCTCTGAACCGTGCGTGTACCGTTCACCTACAGGAACAAACCTCGTCATCGCGATAGTCAAAGAATTTTCCCCCCAGCTCATGGTTACCCTGCGTGCGCATTCTGCATCTGTGCGAGGTGCGAAGTCAGCACGACTCATGTACTCGCGGGGATCGTGGGATCCTGCGATCGTCATCAAATTATGCCGCACCCTTTGCCGAACCGTTATTCAAACCGCATTTTTTTCGAATATCACCCTCAATGTCGCCTCGAATCAACTGCCCTCCGTTGGTGCACCAACATACAAGGCGTACGCTGTCATGCTTGGAGGCACACGCTCTACGGGCCACAGGCAGTATATCCGGCGTCGAGGGCAGAAGCACGAGATATCGAACCGGGGCAACGGCTCGGTGGCGTCGGTGAGGTTGTTGGTGCTGTGTGCGGCCCTGGCATCAGCAATAGGTGGCGGTGGGCAAGGGCGAGTCACGGCGATCAGCAGCGGTCACAGACCGGGCTTTCTGGGCCTGGGCTTTGGGAGGGAGAAGGCCTCAGCTGTTCCTGAGCCGCTATCCCTGGGAGACAGGGTTCGGAGGTTCGGGGAGCGTGTTCGTACAGGAGGTGATACCGGGTTGGCAACAGGTAACGGTGGTGGTAGCGCTAACGGTGGAGCGAAAGCTGGAGCTAAAGCGATGGCAGCCGCTCAAGTTCGAAGCGAGGGCCAACAGACGCCGACAGACAGATCCAATGGGAGAAATAGCTTCATTGCGGGAGGCCTAGCGGGCTCTATTTCCACGACAATCACCTGCCCGATAGAGGCGAGTCTTCGCATTGCTGCCTGGCGTTTTCCCACGGTTCGAAGCGCACTCACTGCAGAAGCGCAAGCTCTCGGCAGAAAAATAAGTTCACGTGTTTGTTGTTCGGCGATGCAACCGTCTGTTTGCATTTGAGTAGTGGCCCGTGTTGCCTGTTGCAAGTCCGAATTCAACACATTTACTTTCCTAGTATACATCCAGGCTCCCCCTCTGGTGAGACAAACTTGCTCCTGTTGCGCGTGTGATACGCTGGCATAGGTCTTGCGTCGCGTCGACCACTACTGTAGATTCATATTCCCTTTGAATCATACGCATAGACTACGCATAGTCTACATATGTCGATTTTTTTTCTTGCTGTTGTTGGCTCCGGAATGGTACGCGGCAAGAAACGCGTCAGATAGGACACTGCCGAGTCTACTACACTGTAGTGGAGCCCGGTCCGTTGGGCGTGCAGGTTGCAATGCTGTCCACGATATTCGCTAGTCTTATGTGCGTTAATGCTCTACCTCTCTATGATCTCGTTGTGTACCTAGAACTTCGAGGTATGGAGTGTTGGATTTTTTTCCATAGACGCAATCTCTTTGTTGTGGCGTCTACTGCACTATTACACTACGGGAGGAGTTCCTCCGTGTCCTGTAAGACCACACTTGTGCCACACCAAGTTGAAGATGGAAACGCATGGAAAGCACTCATCAGCACATGTGGAACACTTGTTGCTTTGTGATGGCTGCTGATTCCTGCAACGTCGGGTTGCGCATTCTGTCACGCTGCGGCAGGTGGTGAAGACTCAGCTCCAAGGGTCGGCCGTGAAGCACGGCAGCAACGCTTTCTCGATTGCCAGCTCCATCTTCAAGAGCGATGGGCCGCGAGGTAATGGAGACACGCAAGCTAGTTCACGCCGCGAGTAATCTTGACCCGTCGTCGAGCGCTACTAGATAAATCCCTCTCCTGTTATCCCACCCCTCCCGCGGGGGGGGGGGCGTCATATCATCCTTCAAGTTATATAATGTCCTCCGGCTTGCGGTGAGCGACTTGTTTACGGCCTGTCACGGCGAACTTTGTGCATGTCAATGGACATTCCAACGACGGGAAACAACCATCAGCCATATATCATAGGACCCTTTTTTCCTGGTTCACTCATCACTCACCCGTGCCCCTCTCAACAACAACCTACCCATAAACATTCTCGCTCGAAAAAACTGCCCTACCCCAGGCTTTTTCCGCGGTCTGCCGCCCGGGCTGGCGGGGATCATCCCCGCGCGCTCGACCTACTTCTTCGCGTACTCCAGGAGCAAGGATTTCTGGACGAACAACGCTCGCCTGGGAGACCGGCATCGGGACCTCACGGAGGTTCTTTGCGGGGTTACGGCGGGCGTGGTGCAGAATACCATCACAAACCCGATCTGGATGGTCAAGACCCGAATGCAGGTAATAATTCTCGTTTTTTTTTTCTTGCCGCTGCTGGTTCTGATTCGTGACAGCTACTCTTGCTGGTAGTGTGCTGTCTTTGATGGTTGCATTGCTCTTCTTGACAGTCCATGGCAGGTACATAAAAAGTTCGAAGTTGGTGGCCATCTTGGTTGTAGTATATGCTAGAATAGAAGTACACGTCATGGTCCGGTCTTAAAATGTTCTTGTTTTTTTTGGCCCGTACACGTGTCCTTGTCTGCTTGTGCTCTGACAAAACGTGCACGAAAGGTCGAGCGTGCCTTTGATGAAAGAGGGACTTCCAGTCCCCTCCCCCTACACCCGGTGCCACCTCCCGCGGGCAGTCTTGCCAGGCTCTGCCACAGCCCCTTCAAATAGTTTGAGGGCCATCATCGTCCGCACATGCCTTGGGACCCTTGGGTTTATAGATTGCCACCCGTTGCCTGTCGTGTGGACGTTGTTGACCCGCCTCGCCCGAGGACAGCTCCTGGCGGACACGGCTACTGGCCAGGTAGCCTACGGAGGTTACAAGGAGGCGATTGGGGCTATCTACAGGGACGAGGGGGTAAGGGGGTTCTACAAGGGCATGTCGGCGTCCTACTGGGGGTGCAGCGAGGGGTGCCTGTACTTCGTGCTCTACGAGCGAATTAAGAGGTGAGCGGGGTGGCCGTCGCGTCTGGTGGAAACGGTTTGTCGTGTGTGCGATGGTCGCGATTATGGTGTCTTTTCGTCGTTCCCCTCGAGCTTCGCCCTAACTAGTGAATCCGTCCCTCGCTCTCTGTCGGCGGGACGATGAGGGTGTTTCCAGACAAAGAGTAAGACGGTCAAAACTCGAAATCCTTGGGAGACAGCGAATGGTTTCACGCTGCTGAAAGTGTGAATCGGGGCCTCGCTGGTGTGTGTTGTACGCGCTTTTGTGCGAGAATGGGATGTCGGTACAGCTCCCCCAAGCGAGCATCAAGAACGACGGGTGCCCCCGAGTTGACCAAGGACGAACAACAAGCAAACCGTTCAGCATGGTAAATGCCACGCCCACCCACCACGTGTAGCCCTTTGGAATGTATTGATGTTGTCCGTCGCCCCGGGGGGGGGGGGGGG